CCAGCTTTCTCGGATAAAAAAGAAAAAATCTCTGAGGTCATATGTGCAAGCTGCACACTTTAAAAATCCATCGGTGGTCTTAAATTCGATAAGATTGGGGATTCGGCCGTCACTCGAACAAAATTCAAAATGAATTCCTACCAAACTGAAAATGTGTCAAGGGTCCCGCGCTTTCATATAGCCCTATGTAGTTGCTAGCACAATAAAACACTTACCTCCCCCCCCCTCCAAAAAAACCCTCAACAAACAAAACAAAACAATCCAACCCCATTTTACCGACCGACCTAACTTCGTGCCCATGTAACAACAAGGAAGACCATTCATATTCAGTCGAACCTGCTCTTACGACCACCTGACCAAGAGAATCACTTGTACAAACGACTACTTCAAAACACCTCGCTACCCTAGAGTTATTATAAAGTTATATCTGCTGAGTACCTAGTTTTGAGGAAGTTGACGTAAAAATGTGGGTTTCACAACACGTCAAGCTTTTGCGAATACATTTCTTTGAATATCTTGATAACGACTTCGAATAATCTTACGATTTTGACAGAGCAAATAAAACATTTGGATTTTTACCTCATGGTCTCAGTAACTCATAACGGCCAAAAATACCAGATAGAACTTTGTAATTCTGAGGTAGCTTCCTATCCAGGACGATTTCTTATCGGCACGACTACTTCCAACTTGTTTCTGTATTGTAATGTAAATGTCCTTGAGGACCACTTGTCTAAGACAACCACTATTCTCAACAATGGATGTTTGTCTTAGACAGATTCGACCATAGCATAAAAACAAAACATTTTTAGAAAAGTACATTACTTTTGTTTCATTTTTCTTTGTCTTAGTTATAGTTAAACGGTACTTGCAACACAATTATATCATATAAGTACCGAAGATTAGAGGTGTTACAAGGGAGTAACAAACACCCAAATGATTATGACATAACACAGTTGCGAGAGCCGTAAAACTCTTATAAACACACACACACACACACACACACACACACAAACACACACACACAAACACACACACAAACACGTACATACACAAGCACACAAACGTACAAACACACACACACACACACACACACACACACACACACACACACACACACACACACACAAAGAGAAGGAGACCGACAGACGTTTGATAGAAAAAAGGGGGCAAACCAAAACTAGAGCACCCGCCCGCCAACCACCCTCAGATTCTTGTCTCTTGTCCAATAATGTAACTCACTCTGCCTTGTGTGTCCGGGCTTGTCGCATGCAGAACACCGTGAGACGAACAGCACGACGAAACCTGTTCAGGAGCTGTCTCTGAAAGGGCAAGAAGGGGTGAGAGTAAGGCGAAGGACGTAAGGGAGGGAGAGAAGACAGATAATATTAATATATTGAATACGTGGTGGATATTATTATTGTTATTTATCTTGACAGTGCTGCCTGCTGTTTTGTTTTGTTTTTAACGCGGTTGTTGTTATTACTGAGAGTGCTGAATTGGTGAGGGGGGGGGGGTGTCCTTTTGTCTTGCCCATATACGGCGAAAACAAATATAAAGAACTTTCAAAATGAAAACAATAATTTATTTAAGAACATAAGGTCCATTGGTTTTTTTCACTGACTTTCGAGTGCGAAAAGGCGTAAAGATGTTGCTTTCTACTCATCGGTAAAGTTTTCCCCTCACAACATTATTAATTCTGTGGTGAGTGAGTGGTCTCTATTTAAAGACAAACATTCTAAATTAAGAGGCGGAAATAATGCTAAGTGACCATAGCCACCAATTGACAACGGAATTTGCACTTATCGACCAACAGTAAATGGCTTATTTTGAAGAAAGCTAGAATAGACAGATATACAGAAATTATGCGGAATATAATGAATAATACATATAATAATATATCTAAAAAAAATAGTCATCATCATCACCATCATCATCATCATCATCATCATCATCATCATCATCATCATCAATAATTTTGTTGTTTATGAGATTCATAATTTGTATCAACTGCATTGAGTTTACCTAACACACAAGACAAATTTCTCCCTGAGGTATGAAAAAAGATTGTCATTGTCATTTAATTTGTCAAGAAAAGGAGAAATCATAAAATGTCTAACAGTCAAGACAAAGGTCATTACTGATACGATTATATTTAGATCAGGGACATTCATTGGGCTGGTCATTGGTGCAGGTTTACGACCATTCCTTTCTGGTTATCCCAGTAGTGACCCACTGACCCCACCAACGAACCAAAATACTTAGTCCAACAGCGCAGTTATTAGAAAGTCACACTTCAGGAGAGGCGTGGGGGCTCTCGTGGCCTAGAGGTGAAGGTGTTGGCTCTCATTTAAAGGTCCCGGGTTCGAATCCGGGTAGCGACCGAAAAATGTTCTTCTCTATATTTGTCTCCTTTCACCTCCTTTCCTGCTCTCTAGCAATGTTCTGTTGTCTGCTTTTATTTCCACTTTCTGCCCCCACCCCCTCACCTCCTTTGCCCCCT